GTCACTTCAACAACGAACAAAATGGCGTCATGAAAAGCCGAACCCTATAGAGGGACAGCTTGTTCTTATTAAACAAGAGAACACGCCCCCAGCCAGATGGCCTATGTGACGAATAACTAATACTACTAAAGGACAAGATAGTAAAGTCCGAGTAGTCACAGTTAAAACCAATAATGGAGAAGTCCAAAGGTCGTTAAATAAAATTTGTCTGCTGCCAACTCAAGACAGCGACGAACAAGTTAACGAACAAAACAACGAGCCAGCCGATGGAAAAAGGCAGCGATGCAGTAGGGCAGCAAAAATTACGCCAACAAATGCAATCATTAGCCTTCTTATGATCCTGCAAGTTGCAAGTACCGCTACAATACCTACAACTAATACAAGTAAGTTAAGCATTCAACATATGGAAGATCGAACCGCAATAATTATGGACAAAATTAAGAAGGTGGAAGTCGTCTCGTCAAGTTAGCAACTGCTATTTTTCTACAATATGCAAGCTTACTTCGAATTTCTAAATTAAGCCGATGATTTCCTTGATAAAACAGCCTCCATTTGTGAAAAACTGGGAGAAAGCAATGAAAGCAAAAGTAGACAACATACAAGAAAGAAACAAAATTATAACACAATCATCGGAAAGGAAAAGAAGGTTTATCATGTTCTTCGACATCGGTACTACAGAAAGAATAAAGGAAAACATGGAAACTATCATCAAAAACGAGAAGCGCTTCAACGAGTACATGAACAACCACGCACGACCACAGAAGAAGTGAATAAGAACTTTGAAAGGGTCACAAATGAAATAAATAGGGTACAAGACACATTGAAGAAGAATTTTCTCATCTTTAAAGAAGCTATAAGGTTCTTCATGCTGATAAATCAAATGCGAAACTGGATTGACGAAGCGGAAAAACTGCAATCCGCAGCCCTCGCGCTTGTAACGGATTTTAATCAAGGAGAGGTACACCCCTCCCTGATTGAGCCGAAGAAAATGTTGGCAGAGCTGGACAAAATTCAATATAAACTACAGAGGAACCAGCTTCTCCCAGGTGGAACGTCTCCTGACAAATTGCAGTTAATATACAAGCTAATGAAGGCCCAGGCAATATTCAAGGACAACGTGCTTATAATAGATGCAAGGCTGCCCATATATGTAAACCAGCATGCCAGTCTCTTCAAGATCGTTCCAGTGCCGCTTCAAGTCAAAGAAGGGAGGTGGATGCCGCAAATTCAAACGGAGTTTCTGATCTATAGTATCGAGCTAAACGCATAGCACCACATGACAAGCACAGAGGTGAATCGCTGTCAGCATGAAAACAAGGATACTTGGCTATGCGAAGGAAGCTGGGCATGGAAAGATGCAAATGACCAGAGTTGTGAGTTAACGCCAATGAAACCGAGCAACAAGCAATTATGCAAAATGGTCGAATACACAGGAGATGTATATTACAAAAAGCTATATGGAAAAAAACGCTGGCTTGTAAAAATATTTAAAAACATAGCATGCGGAGACTACCATGAATTGGCAGCATTACCGAGCCAGTCGAATTGCAACGAGTACAACAAAACCTTAAGGAACTGGAAAGCAAGAGGGTGCGCATCGAGGATCTGGTGTTTCACACGGTAAATGGACACATATCGTTAGGCTTGGTGATAATCATATAAGCTGGGATAATAATTTTCGCGAAGAAAAAGAGGAATCAGAGACAGGAGCTACTAGCTGTCGTGTTTCCTGCCCCCCGCAGAATGTGCAGGCACTAGCATGAACATGAGAACCTGTCGTCACGGACCTTCAGCAGATAGACGCCGAGGATATCTGGTGACATGTGTGATTGCCACATGCGGCGATCCTCTGTTTGTTTAGGCGATCCTTTGTGCAGCAATAAAATTTAATGACGGCTGCACACAGGTCACGTAGGCGACGGAAAAAGGGTCTTAGAAACGCGATAGTACTTATAAATAGAATTAAGACAACGCTGAGTCCTACAAACTCAGCGATAGCATAACTAAATATAAGATAACGCTGCACCTTACAAACGCAGCATAGCATTAAGGGATGAAAAATAATTAAATAAGAGTATGCAGCTAGTAATAGCTGCGGGTCAGAATATTCTACATCGTAAAAGTGTACGCACGCGTTTTAGTGTAAACGATATCGGTAAAAAAAAAAAAAAAAAACGTTATCGATTGAAGAGTGGCAATAAAACGAAGCTTAAGAGTTTAAGCTTTCAATAAAACTGAAATTGCAAAATAAGTCGGCAGGAGTGGTAAAGTTATGTACAATTTCTTACTTAAAATGTCGGGATATGGTATAAATAATAAATGCAGTAATAATAAAGTGACTTCCGATGCTGATAAGAGAGCAATTCTGAGAGAAGCATCCAACTCTCATGAATCGACCGCAAATATCAAGAATGCTCCACAATCATAAAAAATATAGATAAAGGGGAACATTAATATTTATTTTATTTAGTTGAAAATTAAGAATTTTTAGAATTTTATAAATTTTAGTTTTAATAGAAATGAGGGGTGTGCTAACCTGATGACGCGCAGTGTATATACTTTGTGAGGTTTACCAATCCACCTTCTGCCTGTTAAATTTTTCACCTCCCGCAAAACTAATACATATGTATATTCTTGGACATTTTATGCACAGAGTATAATTACGAAAAGCACAACAAATGCATTTCTTTCCAATTAGTTGTCAACTGTACTTATACTTATCTTGTACTCATAAACCTTTATTTATTTTGTACATTTAAACATGCATAGTACATTTATATTTATTGAACTATTTATATGGCCTAGCTTTCTGTACGCACTAATGTAATTTGTTATTTGATACTTCCTTAAGAAACTTTTCTGAAATTAGACACATAATAAACATATGTAATTGTAAGCAAAAATGGTTAGCCCAACAAGGTGGGCAAGACCTGGTAGTATATTTATAAAATGGTATAAATTAAAATTTGATTCGTATATTAAAACAACAATGCAGATAGAGTACATTTTCACTCCGCTGCAGTATGGGGTACTTAACCCTTATTGTTATAAAATATATTTTTCAAATATTGTAATATTTTTCGTTGTATGAATATTTTGTTGCTTTCATTGACTTATTTCTTATTTTCGTATGGGCCAGTCAAACGAACAAACTGTATTTAACGTAATTATTTCTGGTACATATACACAAGCCTGTACCCAAAGGGTGAAAGGCTATACTAGTTTTGTGCGCATGTATGTAACACACAGAAGGAGGCGTGGCAGACCCCACAAAGTGTATATATTATGGATCAGGATGACGAGTCGATATAGCCAAGTCCGTCTGTCTGTATGAGCGCAAGGATCTCAGTAAGTACAAGAGCTAGAATAACCAAACTTGGTATCGAGGTTCCCATAAGTCCTAGGCAGGCCAAGTTTATTTAGCCATAAATAAAATCGCTGCTCATGCGCCGCCTGCAGCTCTGCCCGCAGCTGTTGTTGTTGCTGCTTTGGTTCAACTTTGTGCTGCATACATACACGCATATAAACACGAATAGGCACGTGATGTAAATGTATCCTGTTAAAACTGAACAAAAACATGTCTTCTAATTTACTTTAATTACTTAATTAATTAATTCATTTTTTTTAATAATTTAATTTTTTTATTTTCCTTTTTTTGTGGAGAGTACAGGCTATTTTACTGTCAGGCTTGCTCGACTGTAGCGTTCTCTCTTGTTTGTATGTATACTCACAGTTTATGACTTCAAACAGGCAAATCCCATTCGAATGAGGACCGTTCTGAAATAAGTGAGATAGAATCGCTGCACAATTATAGTAATATTAAGAGTACGCCAAGAAATTTATAGCGCAAGTGTTTGTTGTTACAAACAACTTTTATAGATTTATTTGAAATTTAATCAGGTCCATGACGTTATTGTAAAAATACACGAATTCAACTTAATTTTAATTTAGGTTCTCCCAGTAGAAAAAAAAACTAGTAGATAATAAATTATGAACCTCCTAAAAATCTTTTCGATACGAAACCAAAAATTGCAGTTATAGCTTCTATAGAGATGTACTGCCATTTTTTTGCCAGCTCTTCTGGTCTACTTTGTTGGCTGGCGGTAGTAGCAAACCTTAGTCAGTCGTCTTTATAAGTTTAAAAGTAGCAACAACACGGCCGTTGAAGCATCTTAACTGGTTTAAAGATGAGGAAAAGAAGGCAAGATAAGAGTTGGTATAAGGTCGCGGAGTGGCGATTCAATAATCTTACTTAAAGCTATGTAATATTTGTAGTTTGCTCTTTAATTACTTTGCTGCATACAATAATGTCATCTACTTTTTGTCAGCGCTTTTCTTAGTTATGTTAGTTGTCATTGCATTTGCTAGTTTTAATTATATGCGCACGCATCTTATTGAATATACACGTATGTTTGTATAGTAAACTTCAAAATGTGCCTCCAATATTTTCAATTGAAGGTTTACCAATATAAGATAGCTGCGCTGCTCGGACAGTTCCTTGTTTTCTCTCGTTATTGTGTTATCTGTTGCAAGTTGATGTATATCCGACTCCTCCTTGAAATTTATTATATGTGTGTGTTTGATGAAATCGTTACTTATTCCCTCTTACCGCCTTCCTCTTCTTCATATATGTGTATAAATATTTAATTAGCATATTCTTTATATTAAAATATGTAAAATATACGTCTACTGACTTTTAAGTTTCCTTGATAAGTGATAGATAAACAATTTGCATATTAGCAATTACATACTACATTAATATGTAGCTGTTGGTTAATATATTTAATGCTGAGTACGCATTTGTGTATATTTGTAGGGTTCGAAATAGCGCTACAACCGTCGGTCAAGAGCATATTAAGAGCTGCTTCCATCATCAATTTAATTTTATTTTCAAAATGTATTTGTTTTTATTTTTTATTTATTCTTTATATATTTTTAAATTTTAAATTTAAATATAATTTAATAAGAAGAATTTGTTGTTTGATTTTACATTATTTATATAATATGTCGTATTTATAATATATTTTATTTTTGACATGTGTGTGGTTTGTGTGTGCAGTATATCGTGTTTGTATTGTGGTTTTAATATAAATTTCCCATTTCCGCAATTACGTTAAATTCTTAACATTTTCTTTTGTTTACTATTTTTAACGACATGAACAAAATTTCCTTACATGTATCGAACTCATTTTGCACACAGGTGTTATCAAAAACTCACACGAATCGCAGTATGCCCTGCGTAACTATTGATGGCCTGTAGTAAGTGTAGTTGTGGTAGTAATTATTTACTTATAAGTTCTCTGCTCTATATTTCTATTCCTATTGTAGCTGTTGGTTTAACGGTAACTCCATTGCTTTTGCCTTAAAATCGTGTTCTTGTTGTCCATGAAAATATCTCGGAAATTTTATGTATACCTGCTCAAACTTTCTTTTTTGCTAGTAAGTGTAGGGATTTAATTAATTTTCAAATGTTTCCTTCTGGTTTTTCTGAACTTTTTATATTAGGTTTTTTAAGATATTTAACTGGGGCCCATAGCAACAGCGTGGCGCGATGTCGTTGCGCGCAGCTACAGTCTTCGTCTTAAAAAAATATATAGACTTATAAGGAAATAATGAGTTACGCTTCACTTCGATGTCATCATAGTCACGAATTCTGTAAAATCAAAAAATATATTATACATATTAAATAAACTCAAACATTTCTTTAAAAATTTTCATTTATAATAGAGATGGTGTCAATATAATTTGGTGAGACGTATAGTAAGAGTTTTACACGCAACTAATTAATAAGAATTGAAAATGTCCTTTCAAACACAACTAAAATAGATAAGATAAAAATCCTAAATGCAGCCCTTTCGAAATAGAACCCCAAACTATATACGATCAGAATTCCTAATAAATACTGTCTTTTTGAAATAAAACGCTATAAAAAATTAGAATAATAATATCAATATAATGTAGATTTGTTCAAACAAAGAAAATGTTGTTTGAACAGCTTAAATGTATATACATAGATAAGAAATTATTATAAAGCCCTTAAAATGTGAAAATAATATTATTCGAATACATAACTAAATTCCATTTTGTGGTCGGGTCGGATCGGTCCGAAAAAAGTAATATCATAACCCATCTCTACCCTGCATCTCGTAATAATTAAATGAATTTACTATCACAAACTTCTATTAAGAATGTATGTACTGATATAGTCGAGTGGGCCGGCCATCGAATAAATGCTACAACTTTCTTTAAAGTGGACCTATCACATAGTAAAAAAAGGAGAGTACATTATAAGTATCAACGAATTAGCCGTCATTTAATTTTTTAGTAGCACCTATTTTTCTCGTTATCCTTGAATAATTTGGATTTACCTTCGTAATTGACCTGACCATCGCCATCGATATCAGCTTCGCGTATCATCTCATCGACCTCTTCGTCTGTTAATTTCTCGCCTAAATTTGTCATCACATGACGCAACTCGGCTGCCGAAATAAAGCCATTGCCATCCTTGTCGAAAACTCTGAAGGCTTCCCGGATTTCCTCTTCGCTATCGGTGTCCTTCATTTTACGTGCCATCATTGTAAGGAATTCAGGGAAGTCAATTGTTCCATTGCCTGAAAAAATATAACACCAATGACCTTTTTGCTTGAAAACAGTTTGCAATACTAGAGTCCTACGGAACCAACTGTACCTATGTATGTGTAGAATAATTATATAAATTTTTTCTTAAATTAAGAAATACATATTTAACATAAATTTGGTGCTCGATTATTTTATCTTCAGAATTCCAAATAACGTAGAGTATATGTCTGCACCAGAGAACTGCAACGGGTACTACATTATCCGATCACACTCAAGTGTTTAGTCGTACTCGTTATGATTATGTCATTTTGGTTCAGTGACAAGCAATGATCGAACTTCGTATTCACAATTATGCCCGCATGACCGAAATGTTCACTAGAGTTCGGGTAGTTCCCGAGTCATGACACCCAAGCAATGATTTTCTATTGTTTTTTCGGCTATTAGTTCAATACCGACTTTATATACGAGAATATACTTACATACATAGAAAATGGAAGAACCAAACAAAACTATTTACGAAAAGAATGCCCTTCTTTTTTCTATAAATTAAAAATAATTATGCCATAAAAATTAATTAATCATCATTTGTGTGGTTGACGAATTTTGAGTTACTTGTGTATAATAAACAAGTTGGGAAGTTGGGTTAGTCGGGTGTCCCAGGGAAGGAGGGTAATTCCAAAATAGATATTTTCTGCGTATTCACATAAGGTATCGTGGGATTAAATTTGGTGTCCCTAATTTATATAGTCTTTGAGATATATGTATGTGATTATACGAATGGCGTTTCCGAAAATCTCCCATAGGAGAGAGGGGGGAAAAAAAAAAACACTAAAAAAACTCGTGCAGCATACATAAGGCATCTTAGTGCGAAATTTGGTGTCTCTATCTATAAACAGTCCCTGAGATCCAGATGTTCATAGGAAATACTCTTACACGAGTAATTATTCCAGTTTTTTGCACATAATCAGTCTTAGGGATAGCTGTAGATTAAACTGGATGAGTAATTCTGCTCTCATTAAATTAACGTAGCTCTTATTTCTGGAACGCGTTCAGGAAAACAGTTTGATGTTGGGATACTTAACATGAAAGACACTAGTTTAAACATATTCCTGGTATCAAATGCGAATAAGAAAACGGTGAAAGGGAAGACATTACGGTCGCACGTACCGATTGCGCTCTTCTCTTTCCCGCGCCAGTCCACACTTGTCTGTGCAACCTTCCTCAGCACGCATGTTTGAGTTATCCCCGAAAAGCGGGATTGAGCCTGTCTCGCGCAAGACTTTTTATGTCTGGCAACGCAACACATGTATTCAAATATAAATCAAATATCCACTTTCTGGTATTAAGTATAATTTGTGTATACATTCCCCGTGCATGCGAGTTCGTTGTCACTTATGTACGCATGTATTAAATATTTTTAATTTTGCTACTAAGCGCCTGCATGAAAGAATTATAGTACATACCACAATACATATGCGTGTACATACAGGGTGCGCCATCTTTTATGTCGGTATGTAAACATTGAATATCTTTGAAAATAAACAACCGATTTTCAAGTATGAGATATTTTTATTTAATTTGGTTCTGTACAATTTCTTCAGACTAATTTTACAACAATGGTGTACTCAAGTCAATCGGTTCACTAATGACAAAGTTATTCAATATTTACATACCGACATAAAAGATGGCGCACCCTGTACATACATGTATGTATACATATGTTATGTACAAACAAACAATATATACACATGTATGAATGTACACATGTATGCCGTTTTCAAAGTAAACAGCGTTTAATTCTAGAAACTAATAGTCACAATCTATATATTTATGTATGTATGTACAAAAATACATATGTATGTACTATGTACACATACATTTTCGTATACATATAACATATAACTTACCGTCGGCATCGACCTCGTTTATCATGTCCTGCAGCTCAGCCTCTGTAGGATTCTGCCCCAGGGAGCGCATGACTGTTCCCAATTCCTTTGTTGTAATAGTGCCGTCGCCGTCTTTATCAAATAGCGAGAAAGCCTCTTTGAATTCGGCAATTTGTTCCTCCGTTAGTTGATCGGCCTAAATTGGAAGACAAAATTAAAATTGGCTTGGTTAATAATGGCACGAAGCAGTTTTATTACCATTTTTCAGTTTTTGACCAACGAACAAGCAAGAACCTATTATTTTGAATTTTTGCAAAGCGCCTACTTAGTTTTTAATGAAACATTTATTGAAACCATAGATGACAAATGTGACTGCCCTTTAAAGTTTTGCTTAAATTTTCAGTTTACAAGTGAAATTTCAAAACGAGAACACTTGGAATTTATAATTATAGATATGCAAAGAAATGGCGGCAGTTTTAAATTCCACTTGAGCAATTTTTATGCCATTTACTCAAAGGGTTTGGCTCCTAGTCCTGCACAAAATACAAATATGATGGGTAGAGTGTGCTAGTGTTGAGCGTTATATTCCTCAACCTAATTCAGTTATGGCATTTTATATTTTAGTTTAAATTTTAGCAATATTTTATACTATACATGAAATGTACAAGAGTATATTAGGTTTGCGGGAGGTGAAATACATAGAAACAATTGCTATGTAAATGTGCAGTTATACACCCTTTACGTGAGATCGAATACCCAAGGAGTTATAATCGGAAAATCCGAAAGTGCATTAAAAAAATAGAAACAAGAGAGAACGCTACAGTCGAGCACAGTCGGTCACAAAAAAAGGAAAAAAAAAAAAAAAAAAATAAAATTAATTCATTAAATTAATAATGAAAATTTATTTAATACATACATAGAAGACATGTTTAACAGGGGAACCTCGATACCAAGTTTGGTTAATCTAGGTCTTGTACTTCCTGAGATCCTTGCGCTCATACACTTATAGTTCGCTACACAGGAGATAGTAGATAGTATATTAGCCTTGCGGAGTTGAAAAATGTATCAAGCATGTATCCGTATGAACACCTGGATCTCAGAGACTATAAGAGCTAGAGACGCCAAATTTTGCACAATGATGCCTCATGTGTGGGCTGTGTGCAAGTTTGTTTTATTTCGTTCGTAAAATTACCTGTATCTCGGAGACTATGAAACCTAGGAACATAAAATTTTAGTCCTAGATGCCTTAAGTAAATACGCAGAAATCGTGTGTTTTGGAATTTCCCTCCCTCCTCTCCCACGCAATGAGCAATTTTCCATTACTCCCGTAATTCTTAGAATTTCGAGCTCAAATTGAGCAGATATCTCCAGTGATTATGAGTCCATATGTCAAATTAGGTTGATAGGTCGATTTAACAGTTATAACCATATATGGGCATTTCCAATCTGACGTGATGTGACATTAGTACGACAAAATATTAACCAAATAAATGAAACAGCAAAATTTTTATACTCTGTACATAAAATGTACAAGATTATATTAGGTTTGCGGGAGCTGAAAATGTAACAGGTAGAAGGAGGAGTGGCAGACCCCACCAAGTATATATATTCTTGATCAGCATGACGAGACGAGTCGATCTAGCCCTGTCTGTCTGTCCGTATGAACACCTGGATCTCAGAGACTATAAGAACTAGAGACACCAAATTTTGCACAAAGATGCCTTATGTGTGTACGCTGTGCAAATTTGTTTTATTTTTTTTTATTTTCCCCCCCACTTCCCCCTATGGGCGTTTTCCCGATTTTCCATTCGTATTATCGGCTATATCTCTGAGACTATAAGACCTAGGGACACAACATTTTAGTCCCAGATGCCTTATGTGATAACGCAGAAAATGTGTATTTTGGAATTTCCCTCTCTCCCCCCTCTCCCCCGCAAATCGTAACTCTTGGAATTTCGAACTAAAATTTTGGAAATACCCCCAGTTGGTTATTATATGTCCGTATACCAAGTTTCACTATGATAGACCGATTTAACAAGAAATTATAGCCATAAATATATTTGCTGCTGCAGCGCTGCTTGCGGCTGTTGTTGATGTTGCTGTTTGGTTGACTGCTAATATGTTTACACACACACGAATAGATGCGCATAGGAATACATACACTCACACAGACGCAATTGCTATGTAAATGTGCAATACGGCATACGGACACATAATAACCCAAGGGGGGATATTTCCAAAATTTTAGTTCGAAATTCCAAGAATTACGGGAGTTACGATTTGAGAAGTAGAGGGGGCAGGGAGGGAAATTCCAAAATATACATTTTCTGCGTATTCACATAAGGCATCTAGGACTAAAATTTGGTGTTCCTAGGTCTTATAGTCTCAGAGATATAGGCGATTATACGAATGGAAAATCGGGAAAACCTCCATAGGGGGGAAGTGGGGGGAAAATCAAAAAAATAAAACAAACTCGTATAGAATACACACATAAGGCATCTTTGTGCAAAATTTGGTGTCTCTATCTCTTATAGTCTCTGAGATCCAGGTGTTCATACGGACGGACAGACGGACAGTCGGACAGACAGGGCTAGATCGACTCGTCTCGTCATGCTGATCAAGAATATATATACTTTGTGGGGTCTGCCACGCCTCCTTCTGCCTGTTACATTTTTCAGCTCCCGCAAACCTAATATACTTCGGTGCATTTCATGTACAGAGTATAAAAACCGGTTATGCATTTTATTAAACCGAACGCCTATTATTATTTATAACGTTAATTATATGGAATTTGAAGCATTTTTTCTCTCAATTTAAACTTTTCCCAGGACAATTGCTACTTTGAGATTCGTTTTAGCTGCCCCTCCTTGCTAGAAAAACGTTGTGTGCGATGAAAAAAATAGAGCAATTAAAGAGATGATCAGCTCCTCAAAAATTCATTATTAACTTAATTTAACGACGTGTAAAAATAATTTGAAGCTCATTAGAATTGGTTTCATTGTTAATGTAGCTTTTGAAATGTTTGACGGTATTGACAAAATTCTGTAGCGGGGGAAGGGGGGAAATTCCAAAAAATGAAATAATCTGGTCCTTTCTCAGACCTAGGAAAATCTGGATGCCAACTTTGGTTATTCCAGCTTTTATAGTTTCTGAGATCCTTGCGTTCATCCAGACAGACGGACGAACATATCTATAAGAGTCCTGTAAAGCAGCTTGCTTCCATTTTCGCTAGATAACAGAGAAAAATCCTACATTTTCATGTATGATAATGCGAAAATTCATACCATTCTCCAAACTACGGAATTTGTGCATGACTGTTTCTTTGAAAAAATAAAATAGCCAGCGTCCTAATCCCATTCAAAATATTTGGGGGATATTAGCACGCCGAGTTTACTCTGATAACAACAAATATGACGTTTTGGAACTAAAAAATTCGATTTTAAATAAGTGGAATTGACGAGAGCCGTTTTAAGTTTAAGCGCACATAAATTCTATGAATAAAAGAATTTTTGGGCATGGAAAAACCCAAGATCGGCATATTAATTATTAAAAATTGTAAGCTGCATACCCTCAAGTATAAAATAAATTACTTTTTAATTTTTCAGCAAAAAAAACTTTCACAAACTTATCTCAAAAAAAGGAATGACCTAGGTTTTTGCAAAGCCTATACCCTACATATACCTAAATTATTTTAATTTTTCTCAAAATAGAAAAGACAAAGGCGTGGCGAGGGTTGAAAATAAAATAAATAAAATCTCATAATTATGATAAGCATCTTATTAGACTTATAAATATAACACATATTTTTGAATTAAAACAAGAGAGAACGCTACAGTCGAGCAAGCCCGACAGTGTAATACCCTGTACCCAGGTAAACTTCCGTCACTGATATGTGCCCATAGCAGCAGCAAAAAGAGGAAGAAGAAGAGCGAACTTGTTGCTGCAGTTTGGGGGGGTTGTACTGGCGAGAATTTGTTTCGCTAATAACTTTTCTTAGAATTGACCGAATTGAATAAAATTTTGAACAACAGTAGACAAATATATATAAATTATGTGTGCAAAGTTTGGTTTAGGTAGCATTTGAAATGTGGACGCTATTGACGAAATTCTGCAGCGGGGGAAGGGGGGGAAAATTAAAAAAAAAAATAAATAAACTCGTCCTTACTCGGACCTAAGAGAATCTGGATGCCAACTTTGGTTATTCTAGCTTTTATAGTTTCTGAGATCCTCGCGTTCATCCAGACGGACGGACAGACGGACGGACATGTCTAGATCGATTTCTCTCGTCATGCTGATTCAGAATATATATACTTTATGGGGTCGGAGATGCTTCCTTCTGTATGTTACATACTTTGCACAAACCTAATATACCCTTTTTACCCTACGGGTACAGGGTATAAAAATTAAATTATTGCAAAGATACGCTCCTTACTTCTTTTTATACCCCGTAACTAAAGGGCACAATATAGTAGTTTTGGGTGCATATAATATGCACAGGAAAATATATGTATCCCGCACGTCGTTTTCTTTCATCTCTTGTGTTACATTAAAATTTTGTATGATAAATTTATGTATCGATGTTAAGTTTTTCGATCCATCGCTGTATCGATGTTTCCGATGCAAAACATCGATGTTCATTTCAGATTTACATCACTATACTAAACAAAGTATATTTTGTAATCAATTTTTTTTTTAAATTTATTTTAAAAGTTGAATTAAAATTATATTTTAAAATATATATTTTTAAGTATTTATTTTCAGTTCTGGAAATGGGTAGAGGGTATTTAAGCGTAAGCCGCTAGGAATGTACATATATAAAACAGTTTGTCCTGACTGATTGATTGGTGATCAACGCACAGCTCAAACGGTAAGAGCTAGAAAGCTGAAATTTGGACTCAAGTATCCTTTCATAGCGATAAGGATTTGGAAAATTCGTGCTCCAAAGGGGAGAAAACCCGGCTCCAAGGTTTGTATGAACAAGTAAAAAGGAGAATTTAAAAAAAAAAAATTTTGATCGATTTTACCTCTTTTGGTATTCGTACTCACGTAAAGGGTGTATAATTGCACATTTACAAAGCAATTGCGTCTATGTGAGTGTATGTATGTTTATGCTCGTATATTCGTGTCTGTGTAAGCATGTTCGCAGTCAACAAAGCACCAGCATCAACATCAGACGCGGGCAGCGCTTAAGCAGCG